CAATTTTTGAGCTAGAATGCTCATCTTCGAACTCGATCTGTCTTTTTATGATACAAAACGACCCTGAAAATCCCAGATCGATATCTCAAATCATTCTCGAGTTATCGTGCGGACAGACAGACAGACAAACAAGCAAACAAACAGACAGACAGACAAACAGAATGAAACTTTTCTGGTCAGTGGAGTAATGGGCTTCGCTAATCGCTCATCCAACAAATTCTTATATGCGATATCTCAGAACCGTTTAACATATCTGATCTGAGTCGTTAGCTCTTACATAATCGAAGCAGTTAAACCATAATTGTACTCATGCCAGTCTTAATATTGTTATCTGACGTACAACAATATCCATAATTGTTTCAGTATATTTACATTGCAAATTTCCTACGCTTAGATGGCGTGTAAGCTATCTAATATGAATATCGACACCTATAGCTTTCGAAGAATAGAGAGATAGGTACTGTTATGTATTTCTAAGTTTATTGAGACCCGTTATGTCTATTCATGTAATAGTATACTTATATGAGTGTTCTCAGACGTTCAGTTTCAGCACGCTGCTAAATCCGTAGTTTTGGGAATATTGGTCTCGGTGTGAAGCATGTACGTCCATTTCGTGTTGTACCACTTGGTTATCAGACAACTCGTGATTTCAACCCTGCTATAACTTCCAAATGGCTAAAGCTAGGGCCAAAAAGGCAGCGGATTCGGCTTTCACTCGCGATTTTCACTTGAGGACATACCTCGGTTAACATCCTTCCTCTTATTTAAGATGAAAGAGGCAGTCGAAGGGAACTCAACGGGTCACCCTCACACATAAGATATGCTCTTACTGAGATGACCTTATTCATTTAATACCCTCAATGCTAATGGTCAGAGTCCTAAAATTGCTTTTTACGGCTTTCTTGGGAAAGCCAAAGTGGTTGATCTTCTGAAGCACGATGAAGGTAAATGGCTCTTCAAAAGTGCGAGGGGTTGACCATTCAGATGTTTTAGTGCTCATGGAATATCTGGTTAACCCCTCACAAAATCTGCTTTGCTTTTTATAATGTTACTATTTCTTTTAAATCATTTTTCTTACAGGCATTGATTTCCAACGCATGTTGTCATGTTCTGCCACTATCGTTTAAATGTTGCAGAAGTTAATGTGGTTAGGATGAATCACTGCACTGCCCACGAGACCGCTGCGAGATCATAATCTTCTTCATTGTCAGACAATTCACCTGTCAAAGTCGCTTCCTTCGATTAACAAGATTATGTTTCGTATTTTTTGTTTTTTGGGTCATTTAGCCAATTGGTGGCGGTACGCCGGTACGCGTGTTAAATTTTTCACATTTAAATTTGAAATAAAGATTTCAGAAGCACAGTTTAATTGTTTATTGAATTCCCATGTTTCCAAATTTTTTATTTATATTTCAGCATCAAATAGACATGCATACAGAACAAAACAATTTTTTATTCATAATTTAACATCGAATAGACATGCATACAGAACAAAACAATTTTTTATTTATATTTTAACATCGTGTAGACATGCGTACAGAACAAAACAATACATTCCGGTCAAGCTGAATCGCAAAAGAATGGGGGTAAAAACGGAACTCACTATGGTTCAACGTAACGATTTCCGTTTTCTTGTCCTTCGCATTCTTCTGCATTTTAGCTTTCCTGGAATGTTTTATATCATCATGGTAATTGACTATTGAATCGAAGTCAATTCGGTGAAGCCGCGGAATCGAGCCGATTCTACCTAGTTTAGTTTCATAAAAAACACTGTACCCGTTCACCTTTTGAATAAATGAAACTGGAGGGAGTAAAATATCAATGCCCTCGTGAACTGAAAATATTTGAACTTTGTGAGTGTTTGCTACTTCATCTAAAATCTAGTAACGACGTCATGCGAAGCTGGTAATCCCGCATGGTCCAATCCACCCAGCACTGGCACTTGGTAGGCTGCGAGAGCTGTCGAAAAATAGAAAAAATACGTATCATTAACAGAAAAGGAAATGCGTAAACACGCATCAATTACCATAAATCACAATAATAGTGATACTTAAAGCGTCAGCTTGAAAAAAGGGGTGGCGCAGCCTACACTGCTGATTGTCCTACCATTCTAAAGCACCATTAGTTAAAGAACGGCACTGTAAATAGGTTGGCGTCTTATGACGCTGACGCCAAAATATTGGCGTCCTCTATAGAACGCCAAATTTTGGCGTTATAAGACGCCAAATTTTGGCGTTAAAAGACGCCAAATTTTGGCGTTAAAGACGCCAAATTTTGGCGTTAAAAGACGCCAAATTTTGGCGTTATAAGACGCCAAATTTTGGCGCCCAGTAAAAGAACGCCAAAATTTGGCGTCAGAAGACGCAAGAATTTAGCGTCATTAGACGCCAATGTTTTGGCGTCAAAAGACGCCAATGTTTTGGCGTCAAAAGACGCCAATGTTTTGGCGTCAAAAGAGGCGTCAAAAGACGCCAATGTTTTGGCGTCAAAAGATGGCGTCAAAAGACGCCAATGTTTTGGCGTCAAAAGACGCCAACCCATTTACAGTGGGTGCGTGGTACCGGAAGGGGGAAGGCAAATTGTGAATACTACACTGAGGATATGCTTTTGAAATGTTTGCGTAATCATCGTCAAATGTTGTTCGATCTGTTCGGGTTAGTCAGTGCAAAGCAAAACATCCGCCGAGAATTCCAGACGCGTTTAGCAATTGCCAGGTGCTGTCTCGGTTTGATAGATATATTCCCAGGTGGCTCCGGAGAATTGTGCAGTAAGTGGCCCCTTTCCGGGCCTCGTTGGTATGACATTTCCTTTTCCCAGGTGGCCCCTGGGAATCTTGTACCAAGCGGCTCTCTCTAGGGACGATCTTAGGTAGACGCCGGTGCGGTGCTTGTCCTCATGACGACGACCTCGCCAGATGCATTCCTGGTGTCCGGGACCTGCGCTTTTAAACTCCCCCCGGGGTCAGGCCTAGCTTGGCCTGCTCGAAAAGTAAAGTTGGGAGTATTTTACGCCAACATTCGTACATTGGTGTTACTTTCTGCATCTGACTATAACTAACAACAAATATTGGCGTAAAATACTTATAGTTTACTTTTGACTGCCCCGATTCAACATTTTGAGTTTACATCTTCGAATCCTTCAAAAACAACTAATTCGCTAAGCAGCTGCCGCCAGCCTAGGCTCCGACCATAGTCAACATACCCCAAAGTCCCTCTCCATCCCCTTGTACTTTGAAGTGACGATGTAGAAAAATATCTTAAATAGATCTCTGTTTTTCACTTATCATCAAAGCATCAGAAAGCAAAAAAGTCGATTAGTTATCATTTTTTGATTTTCGATGATCGAGCGACCCGGAAGGCATGGTGTCGTTTTAAAATGACGTTCGACTTTGAGCAGGTTTTAGAGGCATTATCTTTGAGAAAAGTGTATTTTTTTACTGGACAAGTTTTATTCCTTACACTTTTCTGCATTCAACCATGCTGAATTTACCCCATATTTCTCGAAGATTTGCCGTCTAAATCGTTCTCTTTACAAACACCCCTCAAAAATGACCCAAAAACACCTGTTTTGGGGCCTTATCGGCCACTCGTCTCTTTAAATATTGACATTTTTTTGGTGAAATGTGATCATTAATCCAACGCAGACCGGTCCTGAAATATTCATCCAATTTAAAAACAAAATAAGAAATCATGTCGAGTGACCCGGAAGGCATGGTGTCGTTTATAAATGACATTCAGCAATCCTGAACCGTACATGCTAGAACACCCCACGAGGGCTTAAAATGCTTCTTAGACACTCCCTTGGTTGGCAGAACTCGAATATTCAACTTTGGTCAATTTGGACCGGCTCATGCCTTATAGGGTTAATTCGAATGCCACGGAAAGCTGTATGATTTCGATCGTTGTGTGGCCAAAACTGATTTCGATTTTTCCGAAATGCATCCCTCGATGATTATCACATGGTCGTGGCGATATGTGAATTTTATCTATCTTATCTGCATCGCAGACCGAGAGTACAATTTCGATTGTGTTTGGGGACTAAACGCTCACAATACACACAAAAGTATTCCGATATCATGTTCACCCTACGCTTTAACTGGCTGCAAAGCAACAATTGATTTTTCGTTTCACCCGCCATTTTTATAAGAATGTCAAAGAAACGTGGGCTCAGTATGGTTTCCCAGAGGAGTGATGAAGCGATAATCTATCCGAGACTGTGTTTTAGATTTTTTGGCCTCCTTGCATTAGGTATTTTAATGATAGTAGATCTACACGATATTTTAAGATACGCTTTTAACGATCGAACAGCAATTTTCTATTTATTAATGGATGTGCCCGAAAAACCTTAACCAAAGTTCGAAAGCATAACGATGGCACATTTTCCCGCACTGTAAAATGTTTTGACTGCTACACTTGATTTTTTATCTAAAATCTAATAATGTAAAGGTTTATTATACCCGTACGATTATCAATTGTATGTCGAATTTTCGATAGTCGGAATCGAAAATTCGAGTACGTGACGATTCTCTCACGGCAGCTTCATGTTACTAAGGTAGTAAATGTAAAGGTAGTTCGTTTGCGACGCAGGGAATACCACACATTAGTTCATTAGGTACAATTACCTGCCATAGCCGTTTTTAAAACATTCACCATCGGGGCCTCGACGCATAGGTGGAGAAGCAGGCCGAAAATAAGCGACCAAAAAAGATCACCAGTCACCGCGTGTATCTGTAACCAATTATTTCGAACTCATACCTAGAGATGAGCGAACATGTTCGTAGTCGAACGAACTCGAACAAACAGCGAACTGTTCGTGTTCGTTCGTCCTTGAACACAGGTTTGTTCGAATCCGAACTGTTCGTGGACTGACCGAACAATTTTTCGTCGGCGAACAAAACTGTCCTGCGGTCGACTTTCCTCTTATTTTCCATAAACGTGAAGTAATTTGAAGACGCGAGAAGCGCCCAGGAGGACACACTAGAGAAATGAAGCCCCGCTCTCTAAAATGGTCCAGCGCTGGTGCACTGTTAAAAATTTCTTGGGATTTCCCGAAGATTCACTTTCCACCACTGTTAGAAATTCCCAGAGGACTCCGTTCTTAGTTTTTGTGTACTAAAACAGATGTTAAAGGTGAAAGTTTTCATTCGTCTATATGTTTTACAGCTAAACTCGACACGTGAAATCTACAGAGTTCTTTGGGAAATCCCAAAGGACTTTGGCAATACTTTTCACGAGTGTTCCTCCGTGAAATCCCAGGATTTTTTCTAACAGTGTGCCCCTGCCCATCCCTACTCGAGGGAGGGGTCATCATTGCTCGTGTTCGGTTCGGAGGTGAACAAGGGGTTGTTCGGTTCATTCGAAGAAAAAAATTGTTGTTTGTGTTCGTTCGAAGATTTTGAAGCCAGTTTTTGTCGATCAGTTCATTCAAATTCGAACTGGCCTGTTCGCTTATCTCTAATACTGACTGTAAAGACAGGCACGATTAGGGTGGACGCATTTTGGAGCCTTAACACTTTTTAAGGCTTACCTTTGTTTTACCAGTGTTAACTATTTGAAAACTAGGCAAATGTACGCCAGACCTTGTCTCGCGTAAGAGGCCTCAAGCGAAACACTGTAACGCAGCGACGCGCCTGGCCTACATCTACCTGGGCCTTGCCAGAGTGGACAAAATTTAGACCTCAAGGTTCTACTTTCACGAGATATTCATTAGAAAACTATTAAAGAATGTTGAAAAATCTTTTCTAAATGCTTCTCAAATAATAGCCTGTTGACGGCCAATTTTGGAGCTAGAACGCTCAAAAGGGCTCAAAATCAATACCGTTCTTGCTTTTTATGAAAAAGTTCCTGTGAAAATTTCACGTTCCTTGCTCAAACCGTTCTCGATTTATCGTGATTACAGGCACTCAAACAGACAAACGCGAAACTTTTATATCACTCGGATAATAGGCTGCGCTAATAGCTTAGCCAATATGATACATGGTTTCAACTGCACTTCTATAAGCTAGTAAGCTGGTTCCACTGCTTTTTGAATATTGCGAGGCGTCCAGCATATTGAGCGATCTGAAAATTGCAACTTACAAACGAGAACCAGCTGAGGAACAGAGGTTGGCGAGCAGCACCAGAAGTGGCCGTGATTAAACTCTGATGAACGAGGAAAACGCAGTATGTCAATCGACCCAGGGCTATTAGTGGTCTGCAGCTAAGGAACCGCCCAAATGGACCTGCATGGAGACAAAGAATCAATAGGGTATTCCGCTGCAAGCCAGCCGAAACCTAAAGAAGAAAAGCATTACTGTTTGAAATGTTTCCCTCTGCGCGCTCATTGGCTCACCGCCACACCGACGCCATCGTCGACCAATCAGTGTTCAGGAGGAAATAGATCGGGCAGTCATGCTTTTCTTCTTTAGGTTCCGGTTGGCTTGCAGCGGAATATCCTATTGTAACGAACATTTCCTTAGCTTTCACGGACATTTTTTTAAAACATTGACACTGGGACCAGCTGGTGCTTGTGTTAAACTTGGTGGACGTACGCTAGACCACGTCTCGCGTAACAGGCTTCACAATATCTCACGAAACACTATTATGCTGCGGTGGGTCTGACATACATCTACCCAGATCTGCCTTGCCCTGTGGCGCTCACATCCGAGTCGGGCAAAAGGCAGGGTCGTAAAATGGCCCCTGGCCTCGATCTTGTCAGAAATGTTGGTGAAGAGGTTTTCTTGGACGAGCCACCCTAACGAAGACCGTCAAATCTCTGAGGAGAACATGTACTGTTGAGGGACATTTCCGTGTCGAAAACTCCCAAAAGCGTCTGAACGGTTAATCATAGAGCCAAACGTACGAAATTTTAGTCCTTAGAATTTACTATCACAAGTTACCTCCAAAAAAGACCTTAAAGTATATTTTTCAAGCAAAAGTTGTTGGGCTTTTTAGTTGTTTTTTGTTTTTTTTACAGGTCAATGGGGTATTTCACCCAGTTGTAGACCGGATCCAATGAAGAACAGTAATGCATCCTGAACTGTTTCCTCTCTGACGCTCATTGGGTGGCGCGGACAAAGTTTGTGGTACTGCCACAAGATCTGCGGTTACTCTAGTGTCGGGTCAGAGAACTTCGTCCGCGTCAGCGTACAAACGTCAGGGAGGAAACAGTCTAGGAAGTAATACTGTTCTTCTTTGAATCCGGTTGGTGAAATATCCAAGGGGTCTACAACTACAGCCGTGTACTTTTGAGTATAGACTAAAAGGATACAAGCGTGATTATAAGATTACAGAATGATTATATGTTGATTACAAGATTATGAAATGATTGACTATAAAGTTAAAAAAGGATTATAGTTAAATTATTAAGTTTATAATGAATGTAGAATGACTATTAAATAAGGAAGAGGAAGGAATAGCACTTTCCGCGCTTGTCCCAGCACGAGGAGATACCGTGTGCGCAGGAAGGGGAGTGGTGGCGGTGGGGATTCTTAAGGGAAGACAGTACGGAAATATGTTGATTTTGAACAAAAACCATCTTTTCTGAAACTTTGTGTGGGAAGTGTTGACTATTATACAGGCCATTTTTAATTTTATTCTGTCATTTCTTTGTCCTATAAGCAACTTGAGGCCTTCAATTGAACCAATTGACTTCTTTTTAACTATGATTTATAATGTAGGTTCTACTTTTTTAATGCTCCAAAAAATTCCTTGCGTTACAAATTTTCATTTCTGGCGTTGTTCATTTGTTTAATGTTTTGATATACTTTTGAACGCTTTTCCTTGCTTTTGGCCCCCCATTGCCGACGCAATTTGATAGTCACGACTTTTTCAGTTGGAAGCGGGCAACCATCTAGTCAGTTAACCTATTCCACGAAAAACAAAGTGTTTTCTGACCCAAACTTTTCCGGGTCCCACGGGCGAAAATGCAAATTTATTTTTTCACATTCCTGAAATTGAGGCAACGAGGGGCGCGTAGCACAAAGTACGGATGGTTTTGCGAGACTCACACAATGACACCAATTTTGATCAAAAAGTCAGCATATTAGAGGTCGTCTAATTTTCTAGCCCCTCACGCCCCTTGTCGTTCATAAATGACATGTTGGTAATTTCGTTATTTACGGCCGAATTTCGGATTACTTTGTTGTTCTCGTCTATTTAGGTTGTTGATAAGAAGAATTTCAAGAAAATTAATTTTTTGGATCGCAGTTTCTGGTCGTGGGCCTTTAACGGTAAAGGGACCTTAGATAAAGTTGCAAACAAAGTTTGGTGACGATTGAAGACTATCTATATTTGTTTTGAGAGTTACGATATTCTTCTAGTTTATGTTTGATTATTTTTATGGAAGGGTGGGAACCAAAAATCCAACTTTTTGCCATAGTTCGATTCGAATCAGTTTTCAATTTTCTTTCAGGTGAATTCAGATTTGACCTAACTGCAAAGATTTTTAGAGTTTTACATATATCCCCTATAAAATACGCAGTTTTTGCTTCAGAATTTTGGGAATTTATACCTTCTTACCCGTTTCAGCCGCAGAGCTCAGTTTTGGAGTGGGAACATTCTTCATGAATACCTGTTATTTCCGAGACAAAAACCAAAATTGGTTCCAAGATCCGAAATCTTGTGTTGAATAGGGCAAGAACTAATCTCATATCGGTCAGACACCTCCACAGCATCGCTCCCAGCTCCCAAAATACTATTCTTTCTTCATTTACTAATAACATTTTGATTTTGTGAATATCATAGGAAAATGTCACTGATTATACAAAAGATTATTTATATGAGTATAGAATGATTATAGATTAAAGGTAAACATTATAGAAGATAAAGGATTATAGAGGTGATTATAAGTGACTATAGGATCGTGAGCTATTGATTATACGAGTTGAAGACCCCTCAGAAATACCTTTTTGTTAAGCTAGAGGGCTCCAAATCAAGACAGTTCTTGCTTTTTAAGGTACAAAGTTACTTTGAAAATTTCACGTACGCCTGGCTTAAACCGTTCTCGAGTTATCGTGATAGGCTAAGCGAATAGCAAAGCGTATTACTCCAGTGATAATCAAAAAATGCCGCGCCAGTCTGTTTATCGGTAATCACCGGTAATTACTATAACTGGCAGGGTTGGCATGGAGTATTACATTAAATTTTAATTTTTCGGCACTGAAAGTGCAAAAAAATTGTTGTCTAAATAATTTGGCAGCTAGGGCTAGATTATTTGCGCAATCCCATTTCGCCCTCTAAGGGCAAACTAAAATGAAAATAAATTTAGCACCGTGCAAAATCGCATGGAAATTTTAAGTTTTGATGGTCTCCGGTCGGGTGAATCGTCAAAATAAAACTCTGGGAAGCAAAATTTGTGGGCCGAAGGCAGGGTTGTTATCGATAAAACGCTAACCGAAAACACGGTTAGCGCTTTCACGCTAAGGCTAATTACCTCCGAAGAAATAAGCGCGCTGACGCTAACAAAAATACTTAGCGCTGCTAATGCTAACGGCGTTTTGCCGTTTTATTGAAGAATAATCGGCATACGTGTAATGGTTGGTTTTTATCGTTATTTTACCATTAAACCTTTCATTTTCATTAAAGAGGCAAAATTATTAGACAACAACATTAAAACAAAAAAAAAATATTCAGACCGTTTTGATTTGGACTAGTAAAACTGACTCGTAAAAAGAAATGAAACGAAAATTTGGTCAATAGCATCAACAGTGATGACTAATGATTTCGATCGAGTTTTAGTGATTTGGCTGGATATTTGGCTGAGCTTGCGAAGCCTTTGCTGTGATGTGGGGTGCAGAGAACTCTTTGGTCGTGTGTCTGTCTGTCTGTACTGGCCCACGTTTCTCTCAGACGGTAACTTCAATTGACTTCAAACTGCGCACGAAGCTTCAGTATCAGTCGAGACGTAATGAGTTTAGTTTAGAAGTTTGATATTAGATGTTTGAAATAAACGATCGTTTAATTTGAATTCGTAGTTTGGTGGCGGTAGGTTGGTAGCACATTCCTTTAACCGTCACATTTGAGAATTTTAGCACACTAACGACTAAAGCTCAGCCACTGCGGGCTGCTGCACGTACTCCTACGTTTATTTTTCCGTTAGAGTGTTAGCGCCTCATATGCACTAATGGACCATGTTAGCGGCGCTACCCGCAAACGCTAACAGCCAGAAACATAAGCGCAATAACGCTAACAAAAATCACGTTAGCACCTTTAGCGCAACTAACGCGCTAATTAGGGTTAACAGCCCTGGCCGACTCTGCCCTTGGCCCGACTCGGGTGTCAGCGCCGCAGGTCTAGGTCGCGTGACAGTCTTTCGTGTGATATGCCGAAGCCTGTTCCGCGAGACGTAGTCTGGCATACATCTTCCTCGTTGCAGACAGACGCAAAACGTTTTGCTAGTCTCTTAAGCCAAAACGATCTATTTTCACACTGGTAAAATAAAGGTAGGATATCCTACCTTTAAAATGCACTAAAGCTACCAAGACATTACAGTTTATAATTTTTCGAAATATTCCGTTCCTATGGACTAAAATTGGATTCTAAGACCTACTTTCGTAATCTACGCAAAATTTTGCGTCGAACGAGCCCACATAGGATGGGGTTCTGTTCAAAAATGTCATAATAATTTTTTGTACTTTTTGACTTGCTCTTCATTCACTGACAGAACCATATCACATGTGGGCTCGTTTGATGCGGGATTTAGCGAGTAATGCGACAATAATGCATTTTAAAATGTGATTGGTTTGCTCATTCAGAATGTATATGGGAAAATCTCAAAATAAACAATTTAGCACCCCAAAAACGGGTCTAACACTCCTGGATAGGTAGGATATCGCATCTTTGTTTGACCAGTGAAGTGACCGTCAAAAACATTTATCCTTTACTTTCTGAAATTGGGTAAATGTATACTTGAGTGACTCTTTGGCCTCGAGTCACTCAAGTATACAATTGAAAAGGGATTTTTGAGTAGAATCACGAACACTCTTTAAATATTGGCGCTCGAGTCTGGTTTTCCTCAAAATTAAGTAAATATGCGTCACCGCTACGCTTCAGATGTACTTTGAAGACGACAACTATAACTAAACTAGGTAGATGTACGCCAGACCACGTCTCGCGTAACAGGCTTCGCGATATATCACGAAACACCGTTGCGCTGCGACGCGCCTGGCATACATCTACCTAGGCCTGCGGCGCTGACACCCGAGTCAGGTAGCGCAAAAATGTACACAACGATATGGGCCTCCGGCCCGTCAACTTCCCGTCACTTCGACTAAGCATGCAGGGTTGTACATTTTTACGCTTTTGTTCGTCAAAAACTTCCTGTGGCTCCTAAATGGTTCAAGATAGAGCCAAACGGACGAAATGTTCGCCCAGAGGGCTCTATTTTGATGAGTTACCCCTTAGAAAACTGTAAAAAAATATTTTTAAAAAACATTATTCTTGGGATCTGTGGTTTTTTATTTTTTTTTTCTTTGAACTTGATCTGTCTTTTTATGATACAAAACGACCCTGAAAATCCCAGGTCACTAGCTCAATTCGTTCTCGAGTTATCGTGATGACAGACAGACAGACAGACGCAAAACTTTTAGATCACTGGAGTAATAGGCTTCGCTAATCGCTCAGCCAATAACTAACGTTTACGGCAAGTCCTGACATTGATCGTTACGGCTGTTTTTTTTTTTGTTTTTTTTTTAACATTGCCCCTGCATTACCTGAACAACGTGTGGCCAAGATCTATTCCAAAACAAGTAATCTTACTTGAGTTAACGCGGTTTCGTAAAAAGGAAAATCTTTCGAAGACGAGTAGTAGTGTATCTACCTGACCCTGCACCCGTCCAGCCTCACACCAGTACGCAGACCCATTACGTAGACACGATCGCCCGCAGACCTTCCACGCCATCGTAGTTAATGCGACTGTCGCAGCGCTGAACCAGGATAAAGTGAGTATTTGCAGATTTTCCCAAATATTTTCTGAATGAGCCAACCAATCACATTTTGGTATACACTATCGCATTCTTCGCAAAATTCCGCGTCAAACGAGCCTACATGTGATATGGAGTTGGTGAATGAAAAGCAAGTCAAAAAGTACAAACCTTTTTATCAATTTATGCCATTTTTGAACAGAACCCCATCCCATGTAGGCTCGTTCGACGCAGAATTTTGCATAGATTACGAAAATAGGTCTTAAAATCCAATTTTAGTCCATACGAACGGAATATACTAAAAAAACAAAAACTGTAATGCCTTTGTAGCTTTAGTGCATTTTAAAGGTAGGATATCCTACCTTTGTTTTACTAGTGTAGACGATGCTTGCGACAAAAATTTAAAGGTTTTCTGATAATCACCACAATTACTACCTGCAGCTACAGGGCATATTGCCACCTTACTTCATTCATCAATATCCTACCTCCACACCCAAGAGCACATGAGACGATTATGCAGGCAACGGCAACCGAAAAGGTTATAAGCCTAGCTGGCGCCCACAGGGACTCCAGCCAGGGCTGCTGGGCTTCATACATCAAGTACACCATCCCAAGCATCACTGTGATGATCATGAGGGCAAGTCCAATCGGAATACTGAGGAACAGGTACCTGCGCATCGCCTGTAAAAGGAAAGATTCTTAAGTAAGATTCGTCGAACCTAAATACGTGCCAAAGAACTTGCTGGCGTTGGCATCAATGTTGAGGGTGCAATTATTTTCTATGACTCTGATAACGCATGCATGGGCTACTATAACACAAAATCATCCCTTCTGCCTTACTCGTATTGGCTATATTATTATCTTGTTTCATATCTTTACCTGCCGATTATAATTAGCGGTCCAGCTTTTGTCGCTGAGCGAAGCTCAGTCCAAGTCGATGAGGGCTCAGGCGACGTCTCCGTCGTGAGTCTGTCTGTGTTTACGTTCACTGTTAAAAACAAGCAGGCCCGCCCTTCCGCCAAACGCAGTTGCCAGCTCCACTTCGCTGCGCAGGCAACTCCGTTCGGCAGGGGCCGGGCCTGCTTGGCCTGCCGGCGGCGATGGCATTTCAGTCTCGCGATTTACTGAAGTGCATCATCAAATAAATAATGTGACCGGTAAATCACTTAGCATATTTGAGTAAAAATAAAGCGTCCTGTGGGGGGCCTGTGGCCCTAGAAATTTGCTCCTTGGACATGACAAAAGACTGTAACGGGGCAACACCATGACTACACTCCACCCTTCTGCTTTGCTTACAAAAAATTAACCCACGCAGTTTCTAGATTGTTTATTGTTTGTCAAACAGTCTTAAAACTTGACTTTTTGCCATTGTTTTCAACACATCCACCTCTAAGGCCAAAACAGTGAAAGATACGGCAAATCTGAGGGTAGTTCCTGGTTCAGAATGTGTTGTTTTGGGGGGGTACTCCCTCTGACATTTTACGATTGGACGCCTCCTTGTACGTCTTTATGTGCAACGTGGTCATTTTCGCCGTATTTTCGACGAAAAAATCACTCTAGCGCCCAAACGGTGCAAGATAGAGTCAAACGGACGAAATTTTCGCCCAAAG